AACATGGCGGCAGAATCTGTTCACTGCTTTATAAGACGTTAAGACGTTATCTGGACATTTTTTCCGCGCAGACCCAGCCTAATGGGCTCAGGTTAAATTCAAAGGAAAACAAAAACCCTACGTTTTAAAAGACGTGATGATTTTCGTGGCACGAACGATGGATGTCATGATTTCACTTGGTACTCTCTTCAAACTTTGGTTTTCATCCAAGTACTCGCACGTGGTTATATATCCATTAAAAATGGCGAGTTTTCGGTAAAACCCGAGGAGATCCTGGCCATAATCTAAGGTAAGATCTTGAATATGATGTTTCTTGTCATTTATTTTCCGGTGGTATCCATTTAGAAATCGTTTGGAAAAGTCATAACATATTACCAAGAGGTAACGATTCACGCAAAAGTCACCGAAATCCTATAATTCCGCTATATTTTAAAGATCACTTTGTGGCTCAAAAGTAGCCCTAGCCTGTTCACGGAATTGTGGTAACATATACACGTATTTATCCAAAATGAAAGTACCAGATGGAAACTTCTAAACTGTCTCAGAAAAATTCCATGATTCCACATATAAGTCACCCCATGTAAGGGAATCCGGATTCCAGAATCCGGGAAATTTTTGCTTGTGGAATCCAAAATCCGGAAATTTTTTCTTGTAGAATTCAGAATCTTGGGCTTTTTAATCCAAAATCCAAGTTCAACTGTCAAAAATCCTGAATCCATTATCTGGAATGCGGAATCCATGGCGTAAAATTTACAGGGCCTCACTGAATATCACTCATTGTGAAGTGAGCTCCCTGTATAAAGATTGTTATTAGTATTATAATTACTATTATTATTATGTCACAGTATGAAACTTTGGAATGCTGTCCACATTATGAGTAGTATAGGGCGCATAGCGTAACCTACACCACTTGAGAAGCTATACTTAGAAGTAAAAAAAGGTCGACACGAAACCTAATACCATCCTAAAATGCATAATGATATGAATCTCTCTACTTAAAAAGCCAATTTAGAATATTATTAAATTCTGATACTCTGTAAAACCTACGCTAAGACATGATGATATGATTATCTCTAATAGAGGCCTAAGTAAAAACATCAGCAAGCTTGTGTTTCTAGATTTCTAGAGAAAAAACAAAAACCTAAAAACTGGAGTTTTTTATTATTATTGTTATTATTATTATTATTATTATTATTATTATTATTATTATTATTATTATTATTATTATTATTATTATTATCATTAAATTCAGAATCCAAGATGTACTTGGATTTCCTTACATTGGGTGATTATAAACAGCCACTTTGATATAAGCGCTGGGCTTATACATCTTCTTAAGGGGTTTTAGGAAAGCTTATGACCTGAGGGACTTACAGTGTACATGTGAGGAGGCTTGTAGCCGGAAATAGAAACAGTGCTTCGCAACAAGCTACAGCAGTGCTGATCAAAATATGTTCTGAAATTACTGATTGTTAATTAAGCTTCAAAATGTTGTAATACCTCGAAAAACATTCCCCCTTAGCAGAAGCCTATTTCCCGAATAACAGGGAAAAGAGGCCTCTGCTAGCAGGGAATAAATCAAGTTCATTTCAATACATAAAAGTAACAGCTAGAGGGGGGCTTATATCCAGAGGGCTTATAATCAGATGTTTACAGGTAGATGGGCTGGGTTTTAACTGGGGGGAGGCTCAATAAGCGGAAGTTTACGGTATGAAGGAACCAGTCAATGAAAGTGGGTTTTGACTGAAAGATGATGTAAATTATCTTGCAACTGACTGACTGGGAAACTCGCAGTATGTGACGTGCATCGTGTGACTTTGTTTCTCCACTGACGTTTCCGTTTTTTTTTTTTTTTGGCCAACGCTGTATCAAAAAGATTTAGTAGCAAGTGACAGAAAGTCAAATTTTTTGTTCTAAGAATAGCACAAGCATCAAAGCGTAAACAGCTTGTACGGCTTTGCGGAAGATCACGACGCGTAAAAGTAATGCGTTACTTTTTTGGGATTGCACCTCACAATACACAGTATCTAAACTGGGAACCAATTAGAATTCGATTAGTGTTACATACATCCACGTGATATTTTTTTATAAGTCAATAGCACGAGGGAGATATTCGTTTTGAGTAACGATGCTCGTGGAAGGAGGTTTACAGTTCGTTTTATTTTAGCCCGATCTCCTGGAATTTGAACTGACACTAACTATAGGTAAGGGAAGCGAAAGTTTCTATGTGAAACGTTGGTAAAAACAGCTTGATAATGGAGCTCTAAAAGTACACAAAAGTACTTCTGTCTTGTGGAGAGGCATAATGCGAATTTTAAAGCCAGATAAGTGGAAGAAAACTTATCGCTGACTAGAAGAAGAGATATTGAAGATTCAGTTCGAGCTGTGTCATTTCTAGCGCGATTAAAGTCTAGAGTAAGGGCCAAGTCGCACTAGAGGACAAAACTGTTTATTTATGTCAAAAATCTGTCATCACAATAAAAAACCAAATGCGACAGGTTTGTTCACCAAAGGACAAAATTTGGTCCCAGACGGACAAACTTCAAAGATGCCGTCGACTACCTCTTGAGCAGGCCAAATTGAGACAAATCTTGGAAAACAATAGCGAGAGTGTTTTAATTCGGAAATGATTTGACAGGTGATACGTAGCAGAGTCTCTATGCTATAAACTTCGTTGTAAAACGTTCTCATTTCGCAACAACATGAATCCCGGCGCGGACGACCAATTTTTTTCCGTACGAATATCCACGATATCCACCAGGATGGATCTATCCTTTGCCAGGCCCTTACATGTTTGATGATCGAGGAAATCCCAGCCCATCCCGACCACGAGTACTGACTCGTTGCCAGAATCCCTCCAGTTCAGAGAAGATAGCTCAATGCCGGCATCAACCCCACGCCTTCTTCTTCGCGCCGTGCATCTTCGTCAGTCGAGAACAAGAAGGCTCAGGACAGATGCAGTAAAGTAGAGGAGAAGCTTTTAGTTCAACTGTGGGCTGAAAAGCATTAAACAATTTCTTACCCCAAAGCTTGGCCTCAAGGATCGCACACTTACTTCGATTTGCATAATCTCGTATACAGTTTTACTTAATAATGAATTTGTACCTCACTTCTGATCTTGCAGGGCTAAGTTACGTTTAGTCGACATTTGGTTAGTCTCTGTTGCAACCGTTTTTGTCTCGTCTCCAATAGGTGGAACGTTGCGTGATTAGCGAGGGAGACTATAACATTTGGTAGACTGAACTAATGCCCTGCAGAAGGAATACGCTTGATGAAGCCCTATATTATAAAGCCTAAAATGATCCATCGTTTAATTGAAGGTCAAATAATTAAGGTTAAGACTGGAGTAAAGTAAAGTCGCTCGAAATTAAGGCTGACCTCGCGCTTAATTTGTCCGTGATACCTGAGTGATAAGAGTAAGAGATCAAAATCAATGAAATACATGTAACAACTGTACCGTAAATCAGATCTACATGTTGTGACACGTAACTGAACTAAGTAAGCATTTTATCTAAAAAAAGCAAGTGGAAACAAGGTTTCTAAAGCATTTTAGAGTCTTGTATTTAACACCTAAAATGAAGGATTATTATGGAGCAATTCGCCTCAACCTGTGACATGTTAAGATTGTACTTTACATTCAAGAGCCAATTAGAATGCGATCAGCCTCAGTACCTACAACCACGTGATATGATTAAGCCGATCTAAATTATATGCAAAAGGCCATGAGGTAGTTTGATTTGAGTGAAGATGCAGGCGGCAGGGTTTTTTTTTTAGCCCGATCTTTTAAAGTTTCGACCAGGTGAAGAGCAACAGAGATTTAGGTAAGGTCAAAGAAAGCTTTAATGAAAATTTTTTTATTAAAGAACTTGATTATGGAAGTCCAGAAGTACATGGTATCTACTTCCGCCTTTTAGAAGAAACTGAGAACTTTTGCTGCTAGGATAGGTTTTATGCTAGTTTAAGAACTGATAGTTTTATTGTTCAATCGTGGAAAATTCGTCGCTGACTAAAGGAAGACACAAGTGATTGGTTCAGCTTGAGCGGTACACCATTTGTATCTTTCTTTCTTGCTTGCCCTACCGACCGACCCACTTTTTTGTTTGAGACGGATGGATGAATAATAAAATACCAAAAAATCAATGAAACCATACGAACTATCGCTATGTTCGAAACGTTACCTGAACTTTGGCAACGGTTTTCCTTTAAGAGTATTTACGGCAGACGCTACATCTGTGTCTTCAAACAGATCAACGGCACATTCTGGCAGCATTTCTTTACAAGATGACGGGGTTGTCACTAAGATTTCAAGTTGCCGGGTAAATACAACAAGTAGGCGGGGAATCAAACGGCTAGGGATTTCTTTTGGTTCTATTTTTCTTCTGTTTTCCAATAAAAGTAGCCGGGGGCCACTCTCTTAGTAGCCGGGGAAAATCCCCGGCCCCCGGCTCTTAATGACAACCCTGTAAGATGTATACACGGCGTCGGAGAAATTCACACAACAAGAAGCAGCCTCCCTAGAAAAATCAATCGTGCACACTGCCATGCCATCGTCAGTTTGAGAGGTTGTTTCTGAGTGTCTGTTGAGAACTTCTTCCGGGAGAAGAATCTTCTTCTTGCGTGTTACTATCTCATCTTTCCAGTTCGTCGCAGCTTTGTAGAAAGCAAAGCATGCTTTCTTCTGCATGTTCGCTATAGCGCCTTCAAGATTTTCACGCTCAGTCCAATCGGCTTTGAGCTGAAATAAGGATTTCCTTGACCAACCTTTAGGTTGTGTTGGCTCTTGTACTTGTTGTGGAATATCCTTTATTTTCTTGGAGTTCGTTGTCGATCCGCTAAGGGAATTTCCATGGAGCCTCTTAATTCCACCTTCCGTAGACTGTGAATTGCCCTCGTCGATCCTGGCTTTGACAGCACTTTCAAGTTCATGAAACGTCGTGCAGCAATTGAAAATTTTTCTTGCACATTTTTTGCAAGCTGATATGGATTCTTCGCTCGCTGCATTACAAATACCTATCCCAACGCTTATGAGTAGGTTCGACAACACGATACTGCAGGCAGTGGACAATGTTTTTTCCCTTTAACTCTCCATTTCGTGCGGCTTTGCATAACGGCACAGCCCCAGCTACTAGAATTTCATCACAAAGAAAACATTTTTTACTTTTTTAGCGAGCGCTATCTGAACATCGCCGTGTAATTTTCTTTTCTCTTCCCGTGAGAGACATAGATGGATAATAGGGAGCGGGCAGACGTTTTCCGCGCCTCGTTGAAATGAGATTCCCGCCAATGTACGCATAGCGACTGACTTCCGGTAAATGCTGATTGGCCCATTAACTTGACAGATAGAGCTGACGTTTGTTTATTTAAATTAGAGGGCGGCTGGCGGCTTGTTAAATAAATGTATCAGGCGTTATTTTTTTTTCCTCTCGCCTCGTCCGCCCTTGAAAAAAAAAAAAAAACGCCTGATCGCAGCTAATCCTCCCCCCACCTAAGTCAACATCAACACTTACTTCTCACTGTGGTCAAAATAGTGACTTAGGGGAGGGGTAGGTAGTCAGTAATTTTAACATCCAGTAATTTTACTGATTATGTTACCCCCGCAGAACACATTTTTAATTTGGCAAAAGTATCATGCTAGGAGGTCTTCAATTTAATTCAGAAAATACCGAGTAATAAAGCCAGTGGTCTTGAGAACATCTCAGCACGTCTCCTGAAAGAAGCGTCTCCCATAGTTACTCGCAGTCTAACTTTTATAATAAATCAGTCAATTACCACTGGAATATTTCCAAATGCTTGGAAACGAGCTAGAGTTTCGCCATTATTTAAAGAAGACCTCAGGACTGATCCTAACAACTACAGACCTATCTCAGTTCTGCCTGTAGTAAGTAAATTAATTGAAAGAGTTGTTTTTAATCAATTATATGAATATCTAAATAATAATAACTTGTTAACTGAATTACAATCTGGCTTCAGACCTATGTTTTCCACTGAAACAGCTTTACTTGAGGCTACGAATGAATGACTATGGAATATTGACAACAGTCTCTTAAATGGTGTGATATTCCTGGACTTGAAAAAAGCTTTTGATACCATGGATCATGCTATCCTTCTGGGAAAGCTTAAACTCTATGGGGTCAGTTCTCAATCTCTTAACTGGTTCCAGTCCTATCTATCTGACCGAAAGCAACAAACGTTCATTGATGGAGTTTAATCTGATTTCTGTAATATAACATGGGGTATTCCACAGTGGTCTATTTTAGGCCCTCTCTTATTCACTATTTATATTAATGATCTCCCTTCATGTAATTTGTTTTCAAAACCCAGAATGTATGCAGATGATACTACCCTTACCACATCTGCAGAAGACCCATGTGTCCTTGAACATAAAATGAATTATGATATGAATTTAATCCAGTCATGGCTGTCAGCAAACAAATTAACTTTAAATGTTACGAAGACTAAATACATGCTTATAGAGAGCCAATTTAACCCATTCGCCCCTGAACCGCCCGTGCGGATCCAGGTCCTTTCTACCCTTTGTGACGTCATCAGTTTTAACGGTCAAGGACAACTTTCTTCGCTATGTTGTGCAGAGTAAAGAGATCTTTCAAACCATACCAGAATGAGCACAATTCAGTCAAGGACACCGGAGAAAGAAGCAAAAAACAACGTGACAAGGACCTGAAAATCTCCATGAAAATCTTGTTCCATTACCCACCTACCTTTCCTTTCACCTAATCCTAAGATCCTAAAAGCTTTCCTAAAAACTCTTCCCACCAAAATGAAGCCTACTAAATGCCCAGCAAGAGAAAAAAAAAATGAGGCAAGAAAAGCGAAAAAAGAAGGGAGGAGAGAAAGCGTCGAAATGTCGAAATTTTGCTTTCTGCGCATGCCCGAACTTCGCAAGCTGATATTTTGCATCTGGATCAGAAGGCCGCCAAGTGTACGACCTGTAAACCGGTTTGTGGTAAGTTTTAGCTCTTTATAGCACGACAGTGACCAGAAAACCACTCGACTAGCTTCAAAACGCGTTTTTCGGCAAAATCTCCAGGAGCGAATGGGTTAAGTTATCCCAAATAAATAGTGACTTCACAGTCAAAGTCAATAATACACCCTTAGAAAGAGTAATTAAACATAAATCCCTTGGAGTTCAAATTGATGAATCTTTGAACTGGCGCCCACACATTCATACCATTTCAAAGAAAATATCCGCTGGTATTGCTATCTTAAAGCGTGTAAGTCATTTTATACCATTTGATACTAGAGTGAATATGTACAATTCACTGGTAATGCCATATTTTAATTACTGTGGTGCCGTTTGGGGTAATATCAATAAGGGACTAGCAGACAAACTTCAAAAGCTGCAGAATAGGGCTGCTAGAATTCTCACCTTTTCTAACTATGACGTTCGCTGAAGTGTTTTGTTGGATGAGCTTGGCTGGGAAAGGCTAGAATATGTAAGACTTAAACAGTTGGCTGTGACAATGTATAAAATCCATAATAATCTTTCCACATCGTATCTGAGGCGGATCTTTACCAACACCTCAAATGTACATTCACACAATCTTAGAAATTCTGAGTTAAATTATTATGTCCCCAGACCCAGAACTGAGTCTTCAAAAAGGAGCCTACACTACAGAGGATCTGTTCTGTGGAACAAGATTCCCTCCGAGATTAGAAAACTGCCTAGTTTAAATGTTTTTAAGACTTCAATTCATGGGAAAGATTTTTCTAATACACCATGACCCATTGTAACTCTTATTATTCATAATGTAAGTTTTTGTATTTTTAACATTATAGTCAATAGTTCCTCAGTCTTTTAGTCTTAGTATTTTAGTCTAGTTTTAAACACGATTCCTAGGAAGACCATGTAAAATGATGCGATTTCGTGTATAAATAAAGATTGATGATGACGATGATGAGTCTTGATTCTTGTTATTTTACCTGCATGAGGAGGGCAATCACGAATTGATTTTATATACGTAGTTCACTTCTGCTCCTCCCACACAGTACGAGCAAGGTGTATCATCACACTTTTTGAAATTCGGACCTGTGCAGTTGTCTGATTTGCCAACGGCATCATAGGCTATCTTACTCACTCCGGACCAACACTCACCATAGAACTGAATGCCAAAATATGCGAAGCCCTGTTTCAAAGTTGCGTTAGCACAATCACTCACGATCCTGTAGACATAACAAACCAATAGACCCTTGCATGGTTATTTCAGCTTTTGACATGGGCCACTACTGGAAAAAAAAACGTCTGGAAATAAGTGAACTTGCCAAGTTTGAGAGTGATACGTGTAAAACGAGCAAAGATATAGCTCTGCAAAGCTGCTAAAAATCATAGACGCTGGTATGGTGGTGGTGGTGGTGGGGGGGTGGTGGGGGGGGCTGGTTGGGGCAAGTTTGTTCCCCCGCAATACAAAGGTCTGTAAAATTTGGTGTCTTTGAGGAGGTATATCTTTGTCAGTTTTAAACATTAAAAACTGGGCAAGTTTAATAACTTAAATGGCGCTCTTTCCAGCGAAGCCGACCGATTTTCCCTGGCTTGTCCATGTAAAAAGTTGAGAAGCTTTGGAGGTTTTAGCTTAACAATAACGCTTAAGATATAACTGGGCGTTAGGAGCCCATGACCCAAAGTGAGCAACTCCCATATTAGACCTCTGTCACGGTGTTTTTACAGACCGGTTTATCTTTAGGTACGTTTTAGAGCTTTTTTTCCGCGAAAAATGGACGCTCTGCTCCGTCTATGATCGAGCGCATCTGACTGAGTATAAGGCATGAAAAAGGAAAGAAAACTAAACGTCTTAGTCTGCTGACTGGTTTGTGAGACCTGAAAGATAATCTAAATTTGCACAATATTCATTCTAAACATAAACTGGTTAGTGAAGTCGCAGTGACAAGAGTACGTGGAATTTGCTCACTCAGAGTTATAGGCTCCTCTGGGCGCTTATTGGTTGAGGGAGACCAACAGGAGGGGCCCGGGGGGTACTCCTGGGAATTCTTAGTGGCAGTGTGCCGCCCGGTTCTCCAAATCCTGACCCTATCAAGTTTAGAGCAAAAATTGTCCTTTTCCGCACCCGTTTAAAAACCAGACCTCTAAAATCTCAACCCGTTTTCAGACCTGGCCTTTAGGCATTAATTAAGTCATCATTACCTAGATTAGAGCGCAAACCAAAAAAATTCTTCAAATGCTTTTCGAATTCGCGTATTCAGGGCTCCTGGCGTATTTCTATTTCCTTCTTCATTTGGAATTGAAACGAAAACTACGTTCATGCACTCCCGTAGTTCCCTCGAAAACAATACCCGATTCCAGACAAAAATAGGCAAAGTGTATAGCCGTTTTCAGACCGAAAAGGCCCAAAAGCCATACCCTTTGGGGCGGTACATACCTTATTACATGAAATTTTTGCGTCACGTTAATTTCGCGATACAAAAAAAATCGCGAAATTAAAGTGACGCGAACAATGAGTGTCGCGAACATAACACGACGCCAAAATTAAGTGACTCACAATAATAACAATAATTCCGTACAAGCATGAACTGCGTGTGGACATTGTGAGAACTGTTTTGTTGTTACCGTTGACATTAGTCCCCGCTGTTGCGTTTTTCTTCGTGATTTTGACTTTATTTTTCCTTTGATAAAGTCGTTTCATTTAAATCCAAGACATGTTAAATAACATTGCGTATGAAATGTAAATTGTTGTACTCAAAAACGCGAAATTAAAGTGATCCAAAATATAAAATTATCGCAAATTCGCGAAATTTAAGTGTCGCGAAATGTGCGCTTATCAAAATCGCCAAATAAACATGTCGCGAAAAGTTTATGTAATAAGGTACCCATATGGCTTATATAAAGGAGTAACCGCCCACGGGGGGAGTAGTCCGCGTAGCAGGCGCTTGGAAGTAGTGGGCGCAAGAAAGAACGAGCGCGTGAGAGGGAGACACGCGAGGGGAGAAGGAGCGTGTCTCTCGCGCGCCGTTCTTTCTTGGGCTTGCTACGCAGGCTACGGGAGCAGGGGAAACAAGGATGGGGCAGTAAAGAAAACAATACCCTAACAGGGCTCGCAAAAACTCCTGTCCGGTAGTCCTTGACAACTAGGAGTCAAGTAGGTTTTCGCAAGTGACTGTTAAGGGTACTTGCCCAATGGCTAAGGGCTAGGCAAGTCATTCTCTAAAAAAATCTTTAACTAAGACGAAAAACAATTGGCCCCTGCAATTAAAATGTGAGAGCTAATTGTCCAAAGTACAAGCTAGAATTGAACCAATTTTCGAGCCCTGCCTAAATTTGACACAGGCTTGTATTTCGGAGCCCAGGGCTCGAGGTGACGACCATAAATCGGTTGATTCGGTGCTAGTTCTTTCCTTAAGCCGGTAATGATTTCTCCGGTCACCCCCCCCGGGTTTTCCCCTCTTTTGAGCTTTTTGGGTAAGAACCCGTATAAACGAATTCTTTAGAACGGCGTAGGTTGTTGTTAGACGGGAAACAGATTAAAACAACACAAACTAAAACAAAACAAGCCAAGTTACGAAATAAACTTTTGGTCTGCCCCCTCTCCCGGAATGACTTCCATATGAAAGAAATGGAGATGCTCAACGACCATTTATGTTACCCGCCATCTTTGCAAGCGCTTTAGGATTGATCGGAGGAAAGCAATGCCACGTGGTATTTCAGGGGGCAAACAAGTGAGAAAATTTGCCAATACGAGTAATCGCGCTGGAGTTTGTTTATTCTCTCCAATTGAGACGACGGGTTAATTGTCATGCAAAATATACATTTCGAATTTTGACAAGTTTTTAATACGTCATTATAACTTGCTGTGAGAACATCTACGGTCGCGACTGCATCTAAAAAAGTAACAATGATCGTTTCCACCCATATTTTGCCATTATCGTCCTTAAGATAAAAAGCTCTCCATTTTCTGTTGGCTAGAATAAACAAACTCGACCGCGATTTCTTGCATTTGCAAATTTTATTGTTTGTTTGCCCCCTGAGAAACCACGTGACATTATTTTATCCCATCAGTCCTTTTAAAAGCGCGTGCAAAGATGGCGGGCATCGTGAATAAGGTCTATTTGAACGTGGTTCAGTCTTTCTTTGACCCCTCTCCCCTAGGGAGACTATACCATATGGAAATGACTCGACATGGCGCTAAACTTATAAACTAACTTGTTAAGAAACGTATTCCAGTTTCTCCAGTCAATGTTGCCTCTTCTTGTCAGGAGCAGTTTTGGCAGTGGTCGTTTAAAGTTATCCTTAAAGCATCCAATCTTCTCGTAATTAGTCCCACAAGCTTGCAAAAAGGTAAAAAGTCCTTTTTTAACGTCGGTATAGCCGAATCTTTGTAGGCACTTTTTGCCTCATTAACATTATGCTTATCACTACCTGATGATGCTAATAAATATAAACTCTGAATATTGAAAGAGCATAACAGCAGGGGCACCCAACGGCAATTTTCGGAAAATATCTGTTCGGAAGACGAATTGAGATCTAGAATTTTCGGAACATTTGTTGTAAAATTTCTTGCTTGCCTGCATCTCCTAGGATTTTCGAACATCTAAAAAATGGTATAATTGGCCATTTTTAACGGATTTTTACCCCAAAAAGGTCACCTAGAATTTTCGGTAGCCTTTTTTCTGGCTGAAATTTTCGAAAAGGTAAGTTTTGAACCCTATAATTTTCGGATCACTAGATTTTCAGCTAGGAAATCCGAACAGATGAAAAATTTTTGGGAGATAAAAATATGCCTATATCTACCGTTTAAATACTAAAATACGTTTAACAATGCTATGTTTAAGTGGTCTTGAACTACATTTTCGTTGGGTGCCCCTTATAACAGTTTCAGTTATCTCTGAAAATTTGAGCCCAATACACCGAATGGTTTCGGAGACATTCTCTTCTAAAAACTCGAAATTTAACAGAGGATGTATGGCTCATTAACATTTTAGCCACCAAGCAATTTCACAGTTTTTGATGGCTGATATTTCCTTCAATATTGCTTGCAAAGAGCTGAGAATTGCACAAACTGCTCAACATAATCGAGTCTTTCAACTTTTGCATTTAGTTCATATATACGGCCACGGTTTCTTTGAGTGAAGTCGTATTAAGGAGGAAGAATGTAAACACTGACGTCAGGAAAGATTCACCTATAGCCTGAAGTACAGTAAACTCCCGCATATAGCAGCCTGTGATTTCGAGTTTCAGGCTGCTCAAGTTCTTATTCACCGGCTTAGTGAGGAATCAGCTTGAAAAGGTTCTTAAAATGTTCATAACGTTTATTTCAGAAATACTATACATTATGCATGACTAGAAGTTTGAATAACTTTTAATAAATTTTTAAATTTAAGTATTGGTAATAGCATGATTAGTAATGATATTTGGAATAAATACCACGAGTGCTATTTCGAAATTGTTCTACGTAATTTCACGAGCCGTTAGGCGAGTGAAATTTGAGACAATTTTGAAATATCACGAGTGGTATTTATGCCAAATATCACGTACAAATCATACTATTATTTGTTTATACTACTACCCGCCAAAGGTTTGTAATTTTCACATGTAGGTATTTCAAATTAAGCTGAAATACCACTGCTCTCAGCCAATCAAATTGCAGAAATTTCTCATGTAGTAGTATAAAATAAATAATAATATCAGTAATCTTCAACAATTAAAAAATCACCATCAAGCTGTTAAGTAGTTGTAACATTTATTGTCTATGGTCTCACAGTTCCATCCTTTCTGTCAGAAACTAAGCTGTATGGCTCTTATACTTTGTATGATCCACCACAAAAATAGCAGAGCTCTGCGAGCGAAGTTCCATTTCGACTTTGTCTCGACAGTCAGACAAATCTAGTGCAGACGAATTTGGGGCAAAAATTTATCTGAACGCGGAATTTGTATCTATACGATTAATTTGTCTCCGACGGATAATTCGTCCCTAGCAAAACTTCGGTTATTTATTTGAGATTTACATAGGTCGAAAGTTTTAACTGACTACCTACCTGTCGATCCCCCCATTCAGATCCTCAAAGAACAACAGACAGAGCAGTTCTATTTTCGATTACGCATCATATATACGCACATCCATTTGACATTTATAAAAGTATATTCGAAATATTTACTAGTTATAGCCATCGCTAAGTGCCAACGAGCAAGGATTTTACCTATACGCACGCGCTGTTTAATTTGTTCAGAAATGTAATGAATTACAGTAAGTTTTAAATAATAGATTGAACTTAATTCAATTGCATAAGCGAAAATTACCTTGAAAGTAGTGTAAGCAAGGGGCACATTTACACCAACCCACCCATGCGCACAGCTATATCACGTGGGCAGTGGTAGCCACGAACATTTATCAGAACTCAGCAGCATGCTATAGCCGTCGGGTCAATGAACGGGATAAACCCATGTCTCAAAGACCCTCTACTGCCGAGGTGTGTACAAAGCACTCCTTTAAAGCGGGAGTTCACGGTCATGCGCATGCGCGCCGTGACAGCTTCCGGAATAAATCATACTGGCCAACACTAAATTCGAAGAAGACATCAACTGCGAATCCAAAGGAATCTGTCTATAAATTCGCGTATCCGTCGCTCTACGTAAGCAAAGTGAGGTCTGCCATTTCTTAAGTATACGTGAGTGTTGTTTTGTTTTCGGAGAAAGACGTTTAGGGGATGAAAAATCAATTTCCTGAATGGAGTCTCAGAAGCGACGTCGCGGGCGACCAGCAACAGAACGTTCTCAAGAGTCTTTGGAGATAGAGAAGCTTAGCCGATCGATCTGGTATGGTTCTAGGAGTAGTGTGTGGTTTACGTAAAGAATACACCACACTTGGAAAGTGATAAAAGGCGTGTGTTTGTTCAAATCTGATTTTACTTATGACTCTGACCTGTATACCGAAAAGTACGCAACAGCCTGCGCGTCTTCTCTGATCTAGTACACTTGAAATGTTCATTGTATCTTTGCTGTATGATCTTATATGTTTAAGAATTGATGTTTTTAAAACAAATTATTGCCTGAGTATTCTGTTTATAATCTGGTTTCTTTATCAGTGCGAAGGCTGATAAGGAATTGAATTTTTTGCTCAATTTAGGATAATCTTTATACTCATACGCTGTGTGTTTTTATCACCGGTCGGGCGCTATTTGCAGATATCTCTAGGTTTATATAAGGCGAACAGAGAAATCAGAAATAGAAGGTTTGTTTACAAATTTTGTTTGCCGATCGTTGACTGCTTTGTTAGCGTGGGTACGTAAAAGGCCTCGTAAAAATACACGTAGGTAAATGTTTGTTTCAAAAGAGGAAAGGGCTCTAAATCTTATTCTTATCGGCTACAGCATAATTATATCTTAGGAATAGCAAAGAATAAGTATGAATTATGGGAATATATAAAATCAAACCAAATGTCCGGAAATACTCTTGGATCGCGAACAATGAATCTGAATTATGTAAATTTCCTTGCGTGCATCGGTTCCGATTGGTTTAAAAACAATCAGCTTTGTCAGAACTCACACATGCTTAGTATCGTGAACCTGTCCTTTTAATTAAGCGCCAGCTCTACACAACTCCAACCCATGTGGGAGCTGTTGGCTGGGAACTGCACTGCCGTTCTCCCACCACATGCTCGGGGAACGCGGATCATGGGTTGGTGTATGTGTGCCCCTTACTTTAAGTTTGTCTTTTGAAAATAGTGAACTAAACTGTTCTACTGCACAAATAATTTGAAGTCCCGACTTTACGTAGCAAATTTTTTGAGATATTGAAGTTCGTATCTTTGTCCGAAGTTGCACACATGTCATGTTACGTAAAATTTAGTAGTCTTACAACTGATAAGGCAATTTAGAATCCTCGAGAAAATCGCGTTTAAGTCCGCGAATATTCAACGTACAGATTCATATTTGGTCTCTTTTTAAAATCAAATAAGATTTATGGTGCGCCGATGAAGCCTTCCGAATTATTTTGCTTCAAATACACAATCAAATTTACGGCGTCGTTTTTTTCTCAGCGGCAGGCAATAAAAAATTCTATCGCGTATTATGCAAATAAATATCCACCTGACGATTGGTCGAGATTGGTTAAAGACGGGATGAGCACGGGACTCACAAACACGCACACGGCTCTTGGATTCTCTGATCTGTATCACTTGTTCGCTCGAAAGCGATGCATCCTCTGTTCTGCATTACGTCAAAAATGTTGCCTTACATTACTATGGTTGTCTTTACATTAGGCTGTTAAGTAAGACTTAAGAGCTGCTAAGTTTTACTTAACCAAAAATTGGTGAGTTGAGTGAAGCAAAATCTCAAGTGTCTTTACTTCGCATCTCATTAAAGTCGGAAAGTTGAAACGATTCAAGAAAGTTTCAAGCGACTTGAAAACCATCCTTAAAACCGACTTAGCTGACTTGCGGTTTCTTGAGCTTTGAGAAAAGCGAAACATTTCAGTCACTCTTAATTATGTTTCGTGGGAAAAAGGCTTTAAGTTAACCTGAAGTAAAAAAGAAGCGGTTGTGTGTGAAGCTTTATTTTACTTGAAGTAATTAAAATTTACTTGTCTTGAAATATTTCTTAGCATATTTAGGCTCTAGTGTAAAGGCTACCTATATTTCCTAAATGTTTCATCGATTCGAGATTTTTGCTGCCCCTGGAACAATCGCGCATGGCTCTATTTAGGTGCCGTCTCGCAGCCTTGCGTCTTCGCGAGGCTGCTCGTTGGCCAGGGCCGCCTCAAAAGAAATCCCCAGGATATGTCGGAAGGGTGGAAGGGGAGGAGGGTTAGTGGTAGCAGGTAACATTGATCCATGCATTAACATCATTACCTCCATCATCTCCCACAGTAGTACTGCATATCTTGAGAGATATCTTGAGAGATATTCTGTAATTTCGTGATCTTCGTAATAAACTTGATGAAGACTGGTATTCGCCATTCTAAATATCGTAACTCTAGTCGTTTCACGTTGTTTGATCATTCCTTGCAGTTGTCTCTTTGACAATAATTTATTAAATTTGACTGATTGATATCTTTTTTGATCCAACGTTGGGAGCAAGTTTGATCGTACACAGTTTTTTGCGGTGATCTTGCACCTGATTTTTTCATCAACTCCAGTTAGAGTTTCTTCAAAATTTGTGCTTGGTCCATGGTACGTTCAAAGTGTGAACGAACGTTTTTTCATTCCTGCAGATATTCCTTAAAAAGCGGTTTATCGTGAGTTAGCAAGTAATTCTGTTATTTTTTCTTTGCGTATCCTTGAACTCTTTCGCTTTTTCTAGAGTTCTACACCCAGGACAGCTAAGCTTCCGCTCTGCTGTCTTTTGCGACATCAATGCTATATCGCATACTCATTTATTGAAGTCAGAGAGACTTACGTCAATGATGGTATAATCTAAGCATCTGCCAAATTTGTTCAGCGCTAGCGGGTTGTGAAGAAGTAGTCGTGGGATTTAAAGTCAATCAGAAACAGAGAAATGTCTTGGGTAAATAATAATATATCCCCATGAGATAAATAGCCAATATGGCCTCGTACTATACTTTGGATCCATTTTAAGGAATGATTTGCAGGTTCTTTTTCCCGGTGTTTGTAAGTAAGCATTTTCGTTCCTTTGAAATAGCTTTTTTGGTTTATTTAATTACTATTAAACAACAGAAAAAAAACTACCAGACTGTGCGATACGTCACCGTGTCAGTGACTAAGGGAATCATCTTCGATTTTGAGCGACTTTGCCTGTTACATTTTTATTTACAATCGGAGAAGATATATTGCTTATTTCAATTTCACACTCACCATTAAGGCAAGGGTCCTGTTCACAAGCTCGAGTTTCAGAACAAATTCCATTTATGCAGGGTGTATTGCGTGACTGTGTTCCAGAGCCACAAGTAACACTACACTGACTCCATTCGGACAACTGCGGATTAACATGGGTCGATGTCAGGTCGCCTATAGTAAGAAATAAAATAATAATAATAATAATAATACTAATAATAATAATAATAATAACAATAACAATAATAATAATAATAATAATAATAATAACAGAAATAGTAATAACAAGAATAGACGCCTCAAGCTGATTCTGAACTCAAAGCTTGTCCTTACTCCGCCTCCCAGGGATTATAACTTGAAAATCATACCGATAAAGTTTAACGATGGCATACATACTCCATTTTCTAATTGCAATAATAACGATGACGATACAGTATAATGATACTGTGATGATGATGATGTGAAAGATGACGACGATAACGATGATGATGATGATAACAATGATAGTGATAAAATAATAATCTTAATCATAATCGTAATAATTATAATAATCATAACCAAGAACTAGAAGTGAAATCAATTATAAGGAAGGCAACTGACTTGAGAAAATATTGACTTACTGCAAACCAGTTTCTTTATTGGATCGACAAAGGGTGCATATCCTAAGGTTTTGTCTTCATACATGATTAATACATTGTCTCCTCCTATTTCCTTAAGCACTGTTGTATTAATGTTAGCTTCTACTCCATAACCGACAGCAACAATACTAACGTTTTGCGCCTGCGAAAAAAAAAACCGAAATTAGAAGTGGTGCCTTCAATTTTAACTATTCACTCTACATAATCACAGAAAGTAGGTATTATTGTCACCTGGACGAGGAGAGGCACTCAACACAGCTTGATACTTGCAGGCTACGCCCTAAAGTCTACCCCTTTTCTTTTGACATACATGTATCCCTTTTAACAGAAAAGGTATCCCTTTGGTATACCTTCTAATGACAAATTTCACATACATCACTAAACCATAAGTTTTTTTAAAACTTTTTCACAGTCATAAAAAGCGTCTAGCCATTTTAGGTCCTCTAACAAATATAAAAGCCTTTTTAAATAGAGACATTGTAATAGGCCATATGCCCTAAGAGGTCATGTGACATTGTGTTTATGAAAATGAAAGTTACATGATTTTGCTTTCGAAAAACGATTAATGGGTCATATCTTAAACAAAATAATAAGGATTTCGGTTTTTCAAACCTGCACCATTTTCTTAAAATGAGTAAGTTCGTAGCTGGTCACGTGACCAAAACGTGATTTTTAAAATTATGAATTGCATCTTTCTGAACACAAATTTTGCACTTAAACTTCAAGGAACATTTTGAAAAGATGATGTGGTAACGTTTACAGCACATCTGAGCGTAACTATCAAACGTTTAACAGGATATAAGCAAAAAGTGGTTTTGGCCGCCATGTTGGAAGGCAATAGTATGACCTCCAACATGGCGGCCAAAACAAATCATAATACTTTGTTGAAAAATCAAAGTGTCATAAAATATCTGTCTAAAGTGCGTATCCTCTCAAATTTCGGGTGTAAGATACATTTTATGTGCTCTGTCAATTTTTGGCATCACCAAGATTCCAACTCATTGTTTAAAGGAAGCATTGGTCACGTGACCTCTTAGTGCAAGTGGCCCATGTATATGTTTTTAGGTTAGTTTGTTCACGTGATGCGGCTGTTTGGTTGGTTGGTTTCTTTCGAGAAGAAAAATCACATATCTTACCCTTAAAAAAGGTAAAGATTTGTTGAAAAGAATGAACGTTTCTGGTGGAAAAGGCCTCCCATCCGTGAACACGAGTAACACATTTTGCTTATCTTCTCTGTCTCCGGCACTTAAAGTAAACAGCTCGTTTTTGGCTTGTAAAAGGGCTAGGTCGATTCGTGTTATGAACCGTCTAACTGGTTCAATAGTAGTGATGTTTTCTGCCAACGTGAACCTCAAACGACTGTATTTGTCGAAGGTTATCAAACCAAACTGGGTTTTTTGCGCTGATATTTCGAACTTGGCATAGAATGGCTTTAAAAACGTTTCCAATAAAACCTCAAGTTTCGTTTGAGGAATACTTAGTGACGTGTCGATAAGGATTCCAATGTCTTTGTTACAAGGGGTTGAATCAGCTGAAATAGAAGAGAAATTAAGCTTAATTGTCGTATTCCCTATTTATAACTTGTGCAAGATCATGTGAGTAGTATAGTAACGACCAGTTGAACCCCATATCTTGCGCAGGAATCTTACTAACTTGCGCAAGAATAATTAACCCTTTCACTGCCAAAAGTGGCCAAAGTCAAATTTCAACAAAATCTCCAATTATATTTTGGTAAAATGCTGTAAAATACGATAAATAACATAATGTGAAAGTACTGACAAAGAGGTTTCATTTGAATGGTCACACCGCAGGATTTTGTCCACAGTGGCAGTGAAAGAATTAGTGCCTGTAGCGTCACGGCCTCTTGTCTTTATCCCGTTGATACAATGCGGTGCAATCTCATTTACATAAGTTATAGATAGGTCTATTCTATTGTTAGACTAAAAACTTACAAAAGTATTCATTTGTTGATTGTAGAAGGAATAAGCGCTAATTCAACTGTGACTTAAAATTCAATGAGTCGTAACATCATCATGCAAGTTCTATATCTTGCCGATTCCATTATCCAACGCAGACAACCTATTGTCATTAAAAAGGCCGTGACGTCATCGGCGTTAATATAGTCGTGTGCAAGTTGATGAGAATCCTGCGTAAAAAAGGGATCTAACAGTTTCTTACTATACTACATGCGCAAAAATGTCGCTTATCACACAGTAATTTTTAAGGAGTTATAATAACTCCTCTAGTGGGGTTAATTTAACTCCTTACAGTGGAGTTATTTTTTGGGAAGTCACTTCAACTCCAAAAAGGAGTTTAAAGAACTCTTTTTCAGGAGTAAAAATGACCCCAGATATCGAGGAGTTAAAATAACCCCAAAAAGGGAGTTATCCTGTACCTAAAATTTTTACTCCACTTTCAGAGTTAAAGTAATTCCAAAAAGAGTAAAAACAACCCATGTAAGGAGTAAAAATAACCCCATTTTCGGAGTTATTTTAACTCCAGACTGGGAGTAAAAAGAACTCTTTTTCAGGAGTAAAAATGACCCCAAATTTGGAGTTAAATTAGGAGTTAAAGTAACCCCAAAAAACGGGTTATCCTGTACCTAAAATTTTTGCTCCATTTTGGAGTTATAATAACTCCCTAAAAATTACTGTGCAGATTTTGTATATGAAAAAGACAAGAATTAGACATAAATTAGTAAAACATATTTAGAAACGTCATAGAATTGGACTTTTTTTTACCACTGGTACTGATGATGTAAAGTGAAGTGAAAAGGATGAAGATCTTCAGCATGATCCTGATTTTCTGCAAAAGGTAAATAGCATTTAGCTTCTCAGAAATTAATTTTGAGGAAATTAAGATGTTTTAGAGGTGAGGTTGAAGTGCTTTTTCCCACACTGAAAACCTTCAGTGCTTTTTGGAGGACTCAGGAAGCTTATTCATTAAATAATGACCATTGAAAAAGGTGACAAGAAAATATTTTGATAGAAACCGTTCTTAATATCGCTGTTCACTTAACTTCTCATTTGTTTTGCTTTTATATTCGGAGAAAATGGACGTTCACTTGTGGTAACCTCAAAAATGTGGGCAAATATTAAACGTTGTCAGAAAAATTATTCTTTCCTGCCCTATGGCTTGACTCGTGACTTAAGATGGCTCCAAATGATTCAAATGTGCAGGGGAAAAAGGAGGTTGCTATTGTGTACTGCAAGCATATCGATACATGTGTTTCCTAAAAAGCCACAGTTGATCGAAGGGTACAAATTCTTGCTGGATCTAACTTTTGCCCTGGACTTTTTTCCTTGTAATTTTAAGGAAGGTCGCTAATTTTAATTTTGGTGGTAAAATAAGTGCCTATCAATCAACTTAGGGAGCGTCCAAATAGAACTAACCGTTTATTTCTAGTGAAGGGATGACTGTTATCTTAAAATCATGCCAATATCATTTCCCTTTCACACCGGTGAAAGCTTGCAAACAAAAATGTTACGAATTATATGTTTAGTTTCCTGTTCTACTGTTCAAAAAAGCCAAGCTCACTTATCATCGACCCGCCTACCGCGTTTTGCGTCCCTAATTCACGTTTAAAATTTTCATTGAGCTTTTAGAGAAATATTCTCACCAAGTATTATCTTCCACATAGCAGACTTAGAAATAGGCGATCTGATTTCAAACACAGTCGTTTGGACTTAGGCCCGGTTCAGACGCCGTACTTTTCATGAGCCGAACCTAATACATTGAATTAAGTACATGGAAAGTTCGGCGTCTGAATCAATTAGGAACGTCTGTTTCAATTTGGAACGGCTCAGCCGTTCTTTTCGCCTAGCCCGGCCGGGAATTTCGCCTTTGGATCGACTTTGGAACGCCTGTGATTCAGACGCCGAACTTTTCATGTACCGAACCTAATGCATAAATTCTTATAACGTATTTTGTAAGCAGTTTGACCAAAATGCGCATTTTTCGCCTTCTGAATTTAGTTCGGCTGGAATTAAGATCGGCGTCTGAATCAATTTAGCCGGTCTAAATAATTTGGGTCGGCCTTAATTCGAATTAGGTTCGGCTCATGAAAAGTTCGGCGTCTGAACCGGGCCTTAGACATATAATCCAGCTCATCTTTTACCCAACGAGTTCCAATATCGGGACAAAATGTTTGCGTCCAGTTCTCAATCGCACAACTTTTTTGACAGATAATTTTATACATAATTATTCCATTTCCTTTATGCTCGTCTGGCGTCTTGCTAGCCTGCCAAAACCGCACCGGTGGGGATGTTTTGCGAAGAGGAACGTCTTCGACTCAGCGACAAAAATTTCATACTGATGACGTAAATGAATGTCTAATAAATCCGGTAGTCGTGGGGTTCCAAATGAAAATTTGTTTCATTTTACGTTTTTAATGGTCGATTTTGGTAAAGTGTTGTGTTCATCTGCGAACGACGACCGGCAAAACACAAAATGCTTCTTCTAGAGAAGACTATATTCCACAGTCATTGACTGTTTTGTTATAGATTCATCGCGTTTACATTTGACCTTTTTAGCCTTTTGTCTGTCATTCGTAAACAATAGCTAAAACAATATAACTACTCCGTCTGCCAATAAGCGCTTCCTACCGGATTCCAGACAGATTTTAGTTCATCAGTATCGAATTTCTGTCGCTGAGTCGCAGAAGATCCCCCTCGCGAAAAGTCCCCAGCGGCGAGGAGCGAGGAGAAACGGTTCTTTTCGCAGGATAGCGTTTGGCACGCGACCAGAGGAGCCCGCAATCCTAATCTCCATGTTCTAGTGCAATTACGCATGCTTGGCACGTACATATAGCCAGCATTTAATTGAATGGATAGAACGCAAGATCTCATCACGTGCCTTTGGACCTTCTATCTGATCATTCACTTAAATCACGTGAAACGCAGAGTACTAACTTCGGAGCAAGAGCGTTTTGACCTTCGATCAAAGGCCTGAAACTAGTTTCGAGAACACAGATGCCATACTGTCGCTCTCGTAACGCTCTTTTAGTTGAAGGAATGCACCAATATTCTGTCAGTTGTTTTTCAGTGCTTCCACACGAATCTTACATCCGCCGAATCTTTTTCCTTAACTGATTTGGCGCTTTTTAGAAGAAGGAAAGAACAAAATATATATATATATTTTTTGAAGTTGCGTTATTATTTACCGCAGCAAGTCATTTTGGGGATCGATTCAATTATGCGGTAATACGTCATAAATGCCTATGAAATAAACGCTGATTCATTCATTCAATTTCCACCGATCGAAAAAAAAATTTTTCATTTCACGAGTACTTAGTATGTGTTCTTAAGTTTAGGTCTCAGCAGGCAACCATGTTGAAAGTTTTACATATCTCTCGATTTTAAGTGAAATGCCTTTTTTTTGGCCCAACGAAGCTCTGCATTAATCGTCATCGATAACTTCTGTTGATTGGTAGGGGGTACAGTTTTAAAGGACAAACTAAGTTGAAGTAAACCAGCTATACCAACAGTGTGATTTTTTATAGTCTTGTTTAACTATGAGTCGGTATATATTTTTGAAGAAAAAGGTTCTTAAAACGCCTAAACCAGCTCGCTAACGCATGGCTTTCGGAAAAGTTTGAAAGTGGCGATTAGCTGTCATGGTGAGTGTTCTAGACCTCAACTGGGTGGACTATATGGGTAGCTTGTATGGTTCTGATGTTTCCCACTGTTTTTCCATACGGATAAATTGGATTGAATTATATTAGATTGTATTAAATACATGCTGTAAACGCTTTGTAATTGTTTACAAATTAAGGCGCGTTTGAATCTGACTTCGTTGAGAAGAATTGAGTTATTTTTCAGCGAACAAATTGCGGTTTTGTGACAGTTAGTGTTCTTCTAATATTAAAGCGATGAAAGGCAAACCGTAACCATATAATTTCTCTTGACTTACCAGTCTTTGAGGGTTTCGCTCGTATTCAATCTACAAGTAAGCTTTGTAGACCTCTCCGTAGAACAGGGCGTTAACAAATGATAAGAGAACAGACTTTCTGTCATATTAAACCAGGGTAAAAAAAAAAGCACACAGACGCTTTTTACATTAAATGTAATATGTGCATGGTGAAAACGTTATGAGTTGCATAAGCCAATCAGGCTTTTAACTTTATTGATAGCAAAGTTGACGAGACACGAAACGCATAATGCATTCATTATAATTCTATGACTGAAACAGGCGCGTGCCCAAAGCAATAAGCTAGCTGGTATGACAACCCTATTTTGTCTCAAAAATAGATTCATTACATGTATTCGTTGTGTTGAACAATTTAGGGTGTTTGTTTGTCTTTCTAATAGCACTGGATCGCAGGCTTTTGGAACTTGTGGAACAAAATATTTCTTCCTGATAGTTCTTCCCTTTGGAGGAAAAAGCCTAACGGTCATCGTTAAATTGTAAGCCACATGCATCACATTTAAAGTAAAACTTGTTATTTGTAAAATAAATTAAACATAGTCTTGGTTTGCTGAACCTTTTTACTTAAGGAACCATATCCAAAAAATATTGGGGGATCACTTAATATCATATGTAACATGTAAATAACAAAACACTAGCGAAGAAAAAAGTGCTTAAGAGCGAGAAACTGGCCATTGATGTGCCGAACAAAACCCGTTATCCTCGTCATACTAAAAAAATGTCCCATTCCTATCCCTTCCAGGTAAAATAAAGGTGGCGATACTAATCTAATGCCCGAAAAGATTTTTTTTTCGTCCTTAAATGGTACGACTAGAGAGACCCAAGAACGTTTGATGAGTACTTTTCCTTTCCCAAACTCTTCGCGAACTGCAAATCCAGTCCGAAATAAGCCTTTCCGTGAACATAAAAACAATGGTCCAATTTCGATATTTTAAAACTGATACTGGGCTCCGAGGCTTTTTGAGGGCGGGTGGGGAGGGGGGGGGGGGGAAGGGTGAGGGGGAGATAAAACAAAAAAAAATGTATTATTCATGGTGAGCCTCAATATGATTTATTTTGTTTTATTCCCCCAAGCCTCGGAGCCAAATATAATAAGTCTATGGAGTGTTTTGTTTTGGAAAACTGATTTTTGCAGAAACTAGAAGAGTATGTTAAAATTAGGTAACCTCAGTTCAAAATTTCAGCTGTATACTGTATTTATTCGATTAACCGCCTTGGGCGCTAATTAAATTTTTGGACCTTGAGAGTGGGCGCTTATTCGAGGTGGGCGCTTATTCGAGGCTGGGCGCTTATTAAATTTTCACCATTCTCAGGAAGTGTAGTAGTATATTTTGCAACAAAACAGTAAATGGTACTAACAAAAAGTGAAGATGTAGCAAAGCAAGTTTTCTGTAAAATACTCTGAAGAAAACTGCGTCTTCGGGAGGGTCTCTTATTATCTCTTATTGGCGTTTTTGTGGAAGGGAGTGGGGTGGGGTGGGCGCTTATTCGAGGCTGGGCGCTTATTAATTTTTTCTGCCTTTAGCATGGGCGCTTATTCGAGGTGGGCGCTAATTCGAGGTTGGGCGCTTATTCGAATAAATACGGTATATGGAAAGTACGATTGCATTGTCGTCGGCCGCCTAAAATTAAAAAGTTTTTTTTATGGGCAACAACTTTTGCCACCCAGTCACCACATTGAAATCTGTAAAGCTGATAGTAGTTCGTAAAAAATCAACTTTGCAAGACATAAACACGACACCGAGAGAGCCAAAAACTGAGCAGGGCTGTAGCCGCTGACGGCTGTTTCGCCAGTACTATGACTCGTTAGAACGGTTTTGCCTAGTACCTGGACGGCGTTTTCCCAGAATCTCTCATTCGATTCACTT